TTCTCAGTCCACTCCTCTTGGCAGTGATCCTCTTGCACAACTTCTTGCAACTCCAGAGCAAGCAGGTAATTAACATACCAATATATTTTGGGACAAAGAGTAGAATGATTACAATAAAAAAAAAAAAATTGAGTTACATTTTACAGTTGTTTATATAGACAAGAGGACAGTAGTAATATCCAATATGTAAAATTTAGTTTAACAAATTTTGAAAGATTGTTTGTTACTGATGGTTAATTATCAGTAAAAAGAGTGTGAAAATACCTTTTCTGTCTATGTTGTGAATCAAATAGTAGGCCCTGTGATCTTACCTGATTTCACCTTTCCTTAAATTTGCATGAAAAATGTTTTTTTTTTCACTAATGCTATCATTAATATAATTACTATAATGTTACTGACATTAGTAACACCAATATAACATAACAAAATATATTCAAAAATCAAGAAAAAGGGTAAATAGGGGAGAGAAGCAGTATTCATAATTAGCTCTCTGGTGACTTAGTACAAGTGGAGCCATCTGTGTAAAAACAATTGGGTTAAGAATAATAACTATATCAATATCAGTAGTATTTGAAAGAAACACATTTTCTTGCAATTTTAAGGAATGGGGAAATGAGGAGCAGTCACAAGGGCTTACTAATGCACTCCTTGCTGGATGAGAACATGTGGATCTATCTGAATGTAACAATATTCACAAAATAGACTACAGGGACAGTACATAAATCTGTAGTCATTGGGTTAACCTAGAAAAAAAATGTTGATAAGAGAATGTCCAATGGTTCTGATTTTAACCTATGCATTGGCAGTGTTGATTTTTTTTTTTGAAAGAAGGAACCAGAATAAAATAGTCAAATATACATATCTTTTTCAGTCAAAGTAGAAAAGAGGGAACTTCAAGGAAGAATTGGAATGAAGTGCAGAGAAATATACTACATAAATTTGATAGCAGAAATAATCTCCTTTTGCTGTAGCTTTGCCCCATTCTTATATGGAGCTACTATAGTCAGGTTCTAGCAAATATTATTTTATGGCTGGATGCCCTTCTTGATGCCAGGCCTCTCTGTTTACCTGGGCTTGGGACCAGCACTGACTTGGGCTGGCTTGCCCACCCAGTAGCTAGGTTGATAGCAGAAATAGTATGGTTATGTATATGAGAAATGGTAATGTTATAACTTTATGTAGGCAAGATATCCTTTAATATTCTTAATTTTGTGTTACCATTTTATTTTTAAGTGTACAACGTAATTTTTTCAGCAATTTTAGGGAATACTGTATTCTGTGCTACATCAAAACAAATGTATACGCCGATACATGCATAATTTTTCATGTATTTAGTGCGAGAATGGACACCAGGACGAGACACAGATGTTGACGTTGGGGAGAGTGCTGATATTCTCCTCCCAAAGCCAGCAACTCCACAACCCAGTAATAATAGATTGGAACGGAAGAAAGAAGGCAAAACCAGAAAAGAACAAGAAGAGGAAGAGAGAGAACGTATGCAGTAAGTATATCAGCCATTCATAAATATTGTTATTTCCCTTTTTCTATCTCCCTCTGTTGTTGTTGTTGTTGTTTTTACTTCTTATCTCATTTACTTGAAGAGTAATATTGTTTCACTAAACATAAAATGTGTTTATTTTTTCAAATTGCATCTTCTGGTGCTATATCAATTGCTTCTTTATGTTTTTCTCTTTTTTCTTTGTTTTGTATTGTTTGTTTTATCTCTTTTTATCTATATTTTATTATATCTTTTTCCTCTTTCAATCAGTCTTTCTAACTAGTACCTTATAATTAAGGTAAAATATGGAGCCTTAATGGAAACTGTTTACATGATTGATAGCTATGTTATTTAACAAACTGAAAGGGATAAAGCCCACATTCTAATACCTTTGATTACATAACTGAAATGTCTAAAATTTGTCCTGTTTATTAATCCACTGGATAATAACATGCTAGTAAGGCCCTTCAACAAGAATGTTACCTGTACAAATCTCCAAACAGGTTTAATTTCATAGTGAGTATATATATTACGGACCCTGTTCTTCTGTGGGACACCTTCAAGTGTGAAATGCTTAATGCAGCCCAAGAATTGATTGGTGAATGGCCAAGAGCAAGATAGAATTCCATCTTTCAGGAGAGACTGGAAGCCACAGATGCTTGTTGTGCGGCTTGATTGTCAGGGGATCGCAACTTGCACCATTCTCTGGTGCGCAGGACTAGGTCACTGTTGAGAAGGGATAAGGAACAGTTTATCAGGAATCTTGCACAGGAGGTCGAAAGCCATTTCCTAGTAAATGGCCTTCATCCTGCCTACCAAGCCCTGAGAAAGCTGAACTCCAAGCCCTCCTCACAGATGACTGCAGTCCGCTCAGCAAGTGGCCAGATAATATCAGATCCTGATGGGGGCCTGTGCATTGGGTTGAGTATTTTGAGCAGTTGTATCAGGTTGATCTACCAGCAATTAACTTAGATGTGGGTAATGTTGAGATTCCTCTGCCAG